TGACTGGTAAATAGCAAACTAAAGTTACATATAAAATTATCCAAGATTCATTCTTTTGCATGTAGCGACCCAGTTTTCCCAGCACCATTTATTGAACAAACTTTCTTTGCTCCAATGCATAGTCTTTGCTCCTTTGTCAAAGATTAGTTGACCATAAATCTGTGGGTTTATTTCTGGATTTTCTATTCGATTCCATTGGTCTGTATGTCTGTTCTTGTTCCAATACCATGCAGTTTTGATGATTATGGCTTTGTAGTATAGTTTGAAGTCTGGGAGTGTGATGCCTCCATTTCCTTCTTTTTTTTTCAGTAGAGCTTTGACCACTACCTCACACCATACACAAAAATCAACTCAAAATGGATTAAAGAACTAGACATAAGACCTGAAACCATAAAATACATAGAAGGAAATATAGGCGAAACACTACGGGATTTGCACATCAAAGACATCTTTACAGACACATCACCCAAAGCAGTGATAGTGAAGAGAAAGATAAACAGCTGGGACTACATCAAATTAAAGAGCTTCTGCACAGCAAAAGAGACAATAACAAAAACAAAGAGAAACCCCACCAACTGGGAGAACATTTTTGCACCCAACACTAATGATAAAGGACTGATCACAAAAATCTGCAAAGAGCTGATGAGACTCAGCAACAACAAAGAAAATAATCCCGTCAAAAAATGGGCAGAAGAGCTAAAAAGAAACTTCTCTGAAGAGGAAATGCAAATGGCCAACAGACATATGAAAAAATGTTCAACATCACTTGTAATCAGGGAAATGCAAATCAAAACTACCATGAGATACCATCTCACACCAGTGAGAATGGCACATATTAAAAAAACTAGCAACAACAAATGTTGGCGAGGATGTGGAGAAAAAGGAACTCTCCTGCACTGTTGGTGGGAGTGCAAACTGGTCCAACCACTATGGAGAGCTGTGTGGAGATTTCTGGACCTACTAAACATAGAGCTTCCATATGATCCAGCAATTCCACTCCTAGGTATTTACCCAAAGGACACAGAAACATCAATTCCAAAGAGCACCTGCACTCCTATGTTTATAGCAGCACTGTTTACAATAGCTAAGCTTTGGAAACAACCCAAATGCCCAAAAATAGATGACTGGATCAAGAAGATGTGGTACATATATACCATGGAATATTACTCAGCATTCAAAAAAGATAAACACATGCAATTTGCAGCAACATGGATGGCACTGGAAGGGATCATGCTCAGCGAAATAAGCCAAAAAGAAAAAGAAAAATACCGGATGGTCTCACTCATAGCAGGAATCTAGAAAACTTAAATAAGGGACCAGGAAAATGAATATAAGAAAGTGAAAATCAAAATCAACAAAAAACTATGAACCAGAGACACTTTTTGGGGGTGAGGGGCGGGAGGGGAAGGATTGGGGTCAGAATGGGGTGTTTGCAATTGTATGGGGGAATATAAAAATAAAATTTAATATTTAAAAAAAAAAATGTTTGGGAGGATAGACACTAGGTGTTAACAGTAAGCAATGTGAGAATATATTGTTTTTAGGAATATAGTGTTTAAAAATGTTTTTGTTACATGTATTTTCTAATTTTCTGCAAATGGACTCTAAAAATGCATTTACACTGCTCTTATAGTAATAAAAAGTTGCATTCAAAAAAAAAAAATAAAAAAATAAAAAAGGAAACTAAAGTTATTATAGCTGTAATCTGAAATAAATATTATTGAAATATAAAAAAAAAAAAAAAATAAAAAAAAAAATAAAATAAAATTATCCAAGAAAAATATTCACTCCAGAAATACACTAAAATAATCTAAACGCATCTCGGATTTGCATGTATATCATCACTGAATGAACCACAGTCAGAGCACTCCAGAAAACTGGCTGAATTGACAAGAGAAGAAGCTACTGTTAGTGCTCAAACAAAAGTCACATTTGACTTTTGCATGAGACCACAGCTCTACCATGTGTACGTGCATTCAAGAAACAACAAGCAAAGTCATTTTGAGCATTCAAGACATAGGAATGAAAAGAAATAAGATATCTGAACACATCAAACCTTTTAAAATAATAGTGAGGCTCTGTAGGACATTTTAAATTGGCATTGGCAGGGGCTATAATTTTCTGCTAAAGATATATTATCACAATATTCAACCTGGATTTGAACCAAAGCTTATAAGCACTCTCCTAGATAATGCAACATCACACCTAACACTTTGGTATGTCATTCTACACCACAGATTATAATCCTGACTCCTTGGCTTGTTGGAAAGAATCATTTCTAAAGGCAGTAGGTTAACACATGAAATTAATATGGTAAACTGGAGTGACTTCTTTCCCTTTCACCCCCTTATATTCCTCTTTTCAAATGAGGAAAACATTTTTTTAAAAGTATTTCATAGTTCTAAAGTGACTCTGACAAGCTGCTGTTAAATTTTGAAATATAACTACTGATCACTCATATGACTACAAAACACAAATTTGTAAAAGCAAGAATAAATATTAATAGATGTTCTAATAAAGGTGTGGAGAAGCCAACCAGGGACTTAGATAATAGTAGCCTGATAAATAATAATTTTATATGGTGGTCAAGAAATCAAAGTTTTCTGCAGTACTACTTCTATCTGGATTTTTTTTCAGTGCTGTTTAGGAAAAATCAATGGTCATAACGCTTATATATATATAGTTTACAATATATTTTATACTCTATGCTATATATATTTTATAATACATGTTATATATATTTAGTTTATAATAGTTTATAAACTAGATCCTATCTTGCCAATTGTTCTTTAAACATTCTTAGCAATAATCGTGCCTCGGATAAACCTCATTGGCTACGATACTGCCACTGTGCAAAGCTGTTCTTTAAACATCCTTAATGACAAAAATTACATCCCCAACTCCACCCTATGCTTTCATGAGCCATAAGTATCATATAGTGAAATGCTAAGGTATGTTCTCTCTTCTTTTAAAATGTACTTCACACATAGCTAATTCTTCTTATTTCACCAGCAACTATCAGGCTACACATACAATTCAACTATGTCAAATGTATCTGTTAAAGGGAAAATATACTAAATCAAGGATCAGTATACATGGACAAAACTAAACAAGATTAATTTGGCAATGAAGAAACCTGCTAATGGGAAGTGTAAGACAGAATGGATTCTTTTTCACGTTTTATCCTCAGGTGGAAAGTCGATATCACATAGAGATATAACTTGGCCAATAACTGAAATTTGCTAATGTGGGCTTCTGTTATTTCTTTTCTAAGACTCTACTGTGCAGGAAATATGAGGAAGGAGGAAAGGGAGGGCAGAGGAGAGGAGCAGGCAGAAGAATAGGTCATGGTCATCACTGGTATAGATTGTTTTTAATACATAATTTTAAAAGTACTTGTGCCTAAATTCTTGACATCTGTCTGCCTTTCCATCAGGAAAGTAAGCAAAGGTATAGCTTCTCAGTAGAAGAAATTTTACTTCACTGGAAGAATAATTTTATGCATATATGATAATTATATCTCATAATTAAAAAAAAAACCACTGTGATCGGATATTAAAGTGGTTCCCAGGTTCTTAATATGCTTTGGCCAAAAATCAACAATAGAAAACCAACTTACTTTTTCATTTCAGCCAAAACAGAAAAATAAAGCCATATGACTGATATCTTTAATAAACTAAATTTATATTTCAACTCTAAAATAGATTTTGACATAACTGGCCTTAAAATAACAAAACATCATTCATTTGGGCCTTTTCCCAGTTAATTACTTGCTGGCATTGCACTAGGAATTCCTTGGCTTCACCTTAAACCAACACTCCCAAGTGCTAATTAGAAGACTATATACATTATTAGCCAGAGAATGCCATGCTTACATCATGCATGTTCCATATGTATCCTATTATTAACATTATTCTTTCACTCTTGGAAAACTCTTGAAAACAAAGCTCCTATTTAAACAAAGAAAGAAATTGGCTGTTATTGAGGAAATTCTTGTCAAAATGCAATTAATAGGTAAGGGCCAATATGACACAGAATTTTTTTGTCTCCAAAACATCCTTCACATGAATCAAATTTAATCTCCTGAAATAGTCAGTGGAGGGAAGGTAATGACTGCATATCTTATATATTTAACAGAACCAGGGGACTCCCTAAGCGAATGGCCAAACTCTCACGTGAGCAAACCAGTACCAAGCCACCTGACATCACAGGAAACACAAGCCAGCAATGTGCCTTTCCCCAGTATGGTCTCTTCAAAAGGCCACAGGACAGGTGGGAAAAGAAACATATGTAAACAAGGCAGATCTAATGGCTTCCTAATTATTAAGAAGATAGAAGCTTCTCCTTAATTGGCAAGCTAATTGACCACAATCTCAGTTTCAAAAATTGAGTCCAATCATTCAAACTTGGTCTATACTCCACAGATTTCGCCTCACACTTCCACACCCCTCATCCAGTCACAAAGTTGTCAGTTCTGCTTGATTTGTTTGAATACTGTACTCGACGACAGCTGTCGGAAACAGTACATTAGAACAGCTGCTGTGACAGTGCAAGGGGCTGGGGAGTTTAATTGGGCTCAATGTGACACTGTGCATTTTTCTAAACATAGAAATATCCACCAAACTAAGGAAATTTCCAACGGTCTGACCATGTTTACTTTTTGGCAATACCAACTGGTTAACCCCAGTTTGAATTGTATCATTGGTCTCATAATATCTTGGCTTTCAGGGTGGTAAGAGTAAAATAAAGAAAATGAAAAAAAGGTAGGAACTGTTAGATAGACAAAAAAAGGGGGGGGTGCATTAGGGGAGAGAGGAAATAATAAGGAAGTCACATCAATAATCTCTTTCAAAGACTGGTTAGTAGCCAAGGAGGATCCCACCGTGTCCAGAATTTACTTCCAAAAGAAATGTATTCAGAGGCCCTGAGCCTGGTGCCAACTGCAAACAAAACCACTCATTATGGTCACAGCCCCCTGGAGAAGGGGAGGAATGGCTTACTCTCGGCATCCGCGTGGAGGAGGAAAGCGAGCAGCAGCAGCAGCGGCCTGGCTATGTGCACCATCCTTGCACTTTGCAGCAGCGTGCACTGGCAGCTTGGGGTCACTGCCTGTGAAGCTGCAGCGGGTCTATCTGATCTGAAGTTTCAGCTGGAACCCTTTCAGAGCCTGTAAGGGGAAAAGCAGAGAAAAGAGAGGAAGAAAACAAAAAGTTATTAGATTACTCACATTTTCCTCTTGTCCCATCACAATCACCATGAGACACAACCCACAGTGAATAAATCGTAAATTATAACCATGATGTCTTTGTGTTAGGAGGGAAATAACTTGATTTGTAAGCGGTAGCCATCCTAGCGTATCTTGTCCCATTTTCAGACCATCCTAAAGCCAATCACCTCGAATTTCACTCTCTGCTTATGCCACCCTTTGGGCAAACCACTGTGAGAAGAAACTGTCGCTTCTTATGAAACAGTACATGAATATATGGGTGGAAGAAAGCATACCAATGCTATAGGAAAGATTTAAGAGATGCTCCATGGTATGGGATAAAAGTCTATTATTGAAAGACTAATGGAAGCTGCTTTCACAGCATCAAATGCAATGACACAGCTAATTCAACTTCTCCAGTTAAATAGTAGAGGTTCATTTTTTTTTTTTTAATACTAGTACACTTGGCTTCTTCCCTTAAGACATATCAATGTTCAAGTCTAGTTTGATTTCCGTAAGTCAAAACAATAGTTACCACAATCGTGTTTGATTTAAGAGGACTCTTAAATGTCCTGTGCAAGGGGTTAGTTTTCTCAACACTCTATGAAGAACAGAGAAACAACAAACTATTTTTGGAGTTCCTACTGTGTGCAAGACATCAGAGATTTCACGTAGTACAAAGTGTCTCAAGTATTAAAAAGGAGTCATATTCGATCCTTTCATCATCCTGACATCTCTGTTGAGTAGAGAAAATAAGGCAGATACATCAGATGTCTTATTCCTTTTTCCCAGGAAGGAAAATCAGATCATACCATAAAAGATAGGATCAGAAATGGCATCACAGAAAAAGAGAAACATCTCCAATCAAGCCTTAGAATGTAGGCAGGATTTTAACAAGAAAATGCGAAAACATTCCATGGGTTCTTTGCAAAGGCAGAGCAATAGGAAAAGAACTTGGAAAAGGTGAGTTTAGTGGCTTGGATGGAACAGAGATTTCCAAATATCTACAGTCATCAGAACCATCTGGAAGGTTTTTAAAACCTAACCAGACACCACCTCCGGAGTTTGTGGTTCAGAGAGCATGAGTTGGAGTCTAAGAAGTTGTGTTTCTAACAAGATTCAAAATGATGCTAATGCAGCTGGTCCTGGGCCACACTAAGGCCACTGGATTGGAGTGATAGGTCTATTAGAAAACCAGAAAAAGATGAGGCCTAAGAAAATGCTTCAGGCCGAGGGAGAGACACAAATGCCAATCTACTTTAACAAGCCTTCATTCAGTGACTGAATATTTTGGAGCAGAGAATCTTCATGGAACTAGACATTGTAAAGATTAACTGACAGCTGAATGTGGGGTGATTTAGAGAATGCTTTTAGGCCAAAGCAAGAGTCCCGCTTGTAAAGCAACACAGGCCTCAGTGTGATGGTGGTCATGGTGGGAATGGGGAAAAAAGGGAAGCAACGAGTGGCTCTGAGCAATAATTTAAGTCTGCTTCTTCAGGTGATAAATAATCAATCCTATAGAAACTTCACCCTAACTCAGCATCTTAAAGAGAAGGTACTTACTAAAGAAGGAGTATATGTTCTTGTTTCCTTTATTATCATGCAAACTTGAGAAAGATCGTTGAAATTCATTTGCAAAATGAAACAGTATACCTTTAAGTTTTGTATATTGGAATATTTGAAACCCATTATAAGATTCTTGACAGGAAATACTAGAGATATCCAGAAATAAACCTAATCCACTGAAATAACTTGTACTTCCAGAAGTATTGTAATGCAGAGACTATAGTGTATCTTTTTTGAAACAGAGCTTGAGAATGAGAACAAAAAATTTTTTTAAAGATATTATCTTTTTCATTACTATGCATGAGTGGTTTGAATGCTGGAAAGATAAAACTGAAAGGATGGTGGGGGGAAGCCATTCTAATTACCATTCCACTAGACAGTCTTTTTTTTTTCTTTTTAACAGATTTGTGGGTGACATGAAGAAACAAGTTGTACAGTGAAATGCATCTACTTGAAACCAAAAGCTAGCCAGCTGCTCCAAATCAGCTATTGTTATCATTCTCATCTGGAAAACAACTTATCAAGCAGTTCACAGATATTAAATGTTAAAATTCTGAAAACTTCAAAGGAAAAGGGCTAAAGGAATCAGCTCTCCCACCTCCTCCCTTTACCTCTCCCATTCTCATGTCAGCATTTCAAATGACAGCAAAGTCCAGGAGACATCAGTCCTGTCTGACTCAATTTGTGTCTGTGCAAGCGTATCAGAGCCAACTGCTACATAATGACTTGGTGCGCTCACAGCGATGGAGACGTATGAAATGCTCTCAGGGAAGAGGAGATCTGTTTTTTTCTCCTACTTGACTAACAACGTGTAAGAAGACCAAATTCTTCCAAATGAATCTACAAATGTTACCTCAGGACTTTGCCCAATGATACAATCTAGATATTAATGCAGGTGTATGCACACAGCATACATATTTATAGGTAAATGTGCTATTGCCCTTGGCCAAGATATGACAAAAGGAGATCAGAAGTGTGAAGATAAAACCAACCCTAGATGTTCATTCCAGTCAGTCTCCCTGCACATCTTATTTACTACATAGAAAACTGCCAACAGGTAAATGCTTGCATGCATATCAGTAAGGTAGAATTTAACTGTTAGAACAAAAATGGGAAATGGATTTTTAAAGAAATATTTACAAGTGAAAACAAAGATGAATGAGTAGTATAAGTAGTTTTCATTTGCCTACAGAAAGGACTGCCAAGTATTCTGCAGTGAAAAGAACAGGAAGGGGCTCAGAGATATTGCAAACACCACACTGTAGCTTACAACACAATGTATTATGAATTTGTCCAAAAGTCCTCACAAAGCCTATGTGACTAAGTTATATTCAAAGACAAGAGCCAAGGTCCCATCAGCCACATACAGGAACATCTGTGTAGCAAAATGAATACCAGCTACAATGAACTAAAACTCATGATATTAAAATCTGTGAGTTCGTAATTTTCAAAATAATTTTTAAAAATTGCATTGTTCATCCTAGGATGAAGATAAGTAATCAAATCATTCTGAAAAAATGGAGAGAAGGGGAAGGAATAATCGTTTTTAAAAATCTCTAAGAACTTAAAACACAACAACAACCTAACACCCTAACTGGAAAACAAGATGTCACTGTTTGTTTCTCAACATTTTGCAGTCTTTCTATCTCATAGCAATTCCATATTCTCAAGTCTAAAAATCTTAGAAATGATAGTATCATAATGATATTAAACTGGAACAGATAGTCATACAGAGACCATAAAACTGGGGAGATTGTATGGGGAGAAGTCCCAAAATGCTTGATTCTATCTACCTCCGAAGCCAATCAGACCTCTATAAAAGGACTGGAACAGGTTGCTAATTATTTAAGAGAAGCAACCAGTTGTACACAAGGTAAAGCTAGGAGGAAATGCCAATGTGTAAAACAGACAAAAAGTGGGGTTACTGTGGCTAAAGTCCCAGGAAGAGCCTGGAGTTTACAGCAATCCCTGTGGAAGATTCTAAGGGAACTCTAGGAAACTCCTGTGCCCTTAGCCTACAGTTAAAACACAAGGACATGAGAAAACAAAAATAAACTTTCAACATTTCACTTATTCATGAGAATTTTCCAAGGAAGAAAGCCCCCTAAATATTTAATCATGTTGTAGAACAAGAATCCTCTAGTGCTATCTAATATGACTTTCTACAATGGAAATGCTTTTTATCTGCACTGATAAATTGATTTCAACATGGCTAGTGTAATGAGGGAGGAAATATTTTCTTGTATTTAAACTGAAGTGTTAACTGTCATGTGTGGCCAGTGGCTGCCCTACTGGATGGTGTTTCAACAACACTCAGCAACATGGTTATAAATAAGGGCTATGTTTTCTGAGTTGTGGACTGAAACAATGCATGGGTATCCTTGAGTTCTCCTAGTCCTCCCTGCCAAATAATCAACCCTAAAGTTGCTGTGTTATGTGAGGACACTCTTTTCTCCTTTGAGTCACTTCCCCATGCGTCTCCCTTACTCAGACAATATATATATTTTCATAGTTTCATTTTTTAAAAAAGCTACTTTAAAGAATGTAGAGGGAGAATCAATAAATGGTCAAATGTACAACTGGAAAATGTCCAAAAAGAAATCATGTTATTAAAAGGAAAAACTGGTATTTCATATCCTAGTTTGAATTATTATGTTTCTCATTACTGAAAGTCTACATTTGGGATATTATAGAAATGCAAATTTCTGACAGCAAAATCACAGATGGGAAAGACAGGTTTACTTATAAACATCCATGTCAAATAAATTTGTATAGCATTTATGAAATGCCCACATTCAATTATGCCAATTATAGAAAGCACTACTGAGAGAAGAAGAGCAATAGAGGACTAAGACAGTGGAAAATCTCACCAGCTCTGAATAAATTTTTAAAAATGAAATTAAAAATTAAAAATTAAAAATAAAATAAAATTTTACTACAATGTAAAGAATAAAATAAATTATGAGAGAAATTTAAGTCTCTTTTAAGTGATACCTTTTTACAAAATAAAGTGTCCTAGGAAAACTTTGAATTTGTTCTACATTTTGCCTTAAACATGCTTATATGACAATAAAATTAGGAAAAAAATCCAAGAGGTTAATAAGATTGTATCAAATACAAACTAGTAACTCAATCACCTTGTTTTTAAGCTTAGGCTATGACTCAATACAAAGATACTAAGAAAGTGTAAGTAAGCACACAGTTCCTGGAGAAATCAACTGAATTATAAGAATAACTAAAGAGCAAAACAATGCCTAGCACAATATGGACACCATAAAAGACCTTTATACATTTGTTTCTAATACAATAGAAGATCATCTGAGCTTTATATAGCATGGTTCTCTTCTCAAATTATTATTGATAGCACTGCACTTAAATTTACATTTAAGGCACAC